CGGAGCCCTGTCCCCCCCCCCCCCCTTCTTGGATGGGTCACTTGCAGGTCTGAACTATCATAACTGGAAGTCTTTAAACTTTAATTTAAGGACTTTGGTAACTGAGACAGAAGTTATGGGTCTATTCCAGAAGCGGGTAGGTGAGGTTCTGTGGCCTGCAACGTGCAGGTGGTCAGACTAGATGATCATGATGGTGCCTTCTGATCTTTGAGTCTAGTCTGTACACAACTAGTCAATATCTGGGGTATGTAATAGTCTTAGCTACTTACCTTTAGTGCCTATCCACAGCTGATCTTGCTCTAGTTTAAAGGTCAGCCTCACTTTTCCCCCTGTTTTGTTGTACATGCCGGATAAGGGCACTGTTGGCAGGCGCTCCTAAAAATGCACAATACTAAGAGTGACAATGCAAGACTTAGAATGCACAAGAAAAGCTGTGATAGCAGGGGGGGAAACAAAGCTGGAAAAAAGTCTCATGAAGTATGAACAATGGGCTGGTAGTATTTTTTCTGATCAGGACAATGTTCCAAGTGGTTATTTAACTTACCTGAGCACCCTTAACAGAAGGCATTACATCTTCCGGTTTTCCTTTATCCAATACTTTCCTGTGTTGCTATAACAAAAACCAGAAATTAGACTACACTGAAGTGTGATACAAAGCTTTTAATTTACTCCCAACCACTTTTTGAAATATGTTCTACCGTTAGAACTTATCAATGTTGGTCCCATCTTCTAGCACTGATTGTAAGTGAGAAATATACTATTTCAGAGTGGAATAGAACCCAAGGATTAGAACTTAGTGTTACATAAGAACTTTACAAGTCCAAATTTCAATAGCTCTATGTAGCATTTAAAAAATGGGATAAAAGACATCTATCATATGGAAAACGGTTAGTTTTAAGTGTTAACAGGTTTGTTTTTTTTAAATGGGTGTCTAAAGAAATATTGTGATAAACAAAACCCACAGAAGATCTGGAGAAAGGGGTAAACGGTTAGGTGGCAAAATTTGCAGATGATAATAAATTGCTCAAGATAGTTAAGACCAAAGCAGACTGAAGAGCTTTACAAGGATCTCAGAAAACTAGATGACTGGGCAACAAAATGGCAAATGAATTTTAATGTTGATAAATGCAAAACAACACACATTGGAAATATAATCCCAACTATGGACAGAAAATGATGGGACCTAAATTAGCTGTTACCACTCAAGAGAGAGATCTTGGAGTCATTGTGGAGAATTCGCTGAATGTGCAGCATCAGTCAAAAAAGCAAACAGAATGTTAGAAATCATTTAAAAAGGGATAGAGAATAAGACAGACAAGTTTATTGCCTCTATAAATCCATGGTACACCCACATCTCGAATACGGTGTATAGATGTGGTTGCCTCCTCTCAAAAAGATATCTTAGCATGGGAAAAAAATTCAGAAAAGGACAACAAAAATGATGGCAGCTGTTCCAAATCCCTAATATGAAGACAGATTAAGAAGACGGGGACTTTTCATTTTAGAAAAAGGAGACTAAGGGAGGATATGATAGAAAGCTATGAAATCATGACTGGTGTGGAGAAAGTGAATAAGGGAAAGTTATTTACTTGTTCTCATAATATAAGAACTAGGGGTCACCAAATTAAATTAATAGGTGGCAGATTTAAAAGAAACAAAACGAAGTACTTCACGCAACTCACAGTCAACCTGTGGAACCTTGTCAAAGATATAGTAGAGGCCAGGACTTTATCAGGGGGTTCAAATAAAAAAAAAAAGCTAGATAAATTCATGGAGAATTAGTCCATCAATGGCTGTTAACCAGACTGGGCTGGGCTGGTGTCCCTATCCTCTGTTTGTCAGAAGCTTGGGGAATGGGTGACGGGTGGGATCGCTTGAGGATTCCCTGTTCTGTTTATTCCCTCTGGGTGCACAGGATACTGGACTACAGGAGCCTTTGGTTTGACCAAGTATGGCTGTTCTTATGATGCAAAAATGGAGAAAGTTTTCTAATGTGTGCAGACACCAAGAACCAGTTTAATATCACAGAAGAATTATTCCTTAGCAAGACAATTGTAATAATCAGGTGTTATGTTCAATGAGTGTTAGAAGCACAATCCCTAGATTTAATACAGTAACACTGCAAAAAAACAACACCCCCGGATTAGGACACTGAGTAGGAAGGAAAAATATGCTTGCAACTGACAAGTTTGCTGAGTACCTTTGAATAATGATGAAATTTACAGTATGTGTGAACAATGATGAGTATAAAAAGACAAAAGAAAATTTTATAAAAGAGTTATACACCAACAGCTATCATTAACTTGCAATGGAATTTGTTGCTGATGAAAGAGATGGGAGTGAAAACTATAATTAAAAGCCTTCTACTTAGCCCTACCACAGATATAGTACAACCATGACAGCATGCTTCTTTACACTGCAGCTGACCTTGCTTATGTGTTCATTTAGACATGAAACGAGTTCAGGGTTCTCTGTGCTGATGAAGCTCCTGAAAAAGAACCACTGTGTGCCAAAACTAGAATTCTAGGAACGGGACTAAAATCATTGAGCTGTTTCACATTAGTGACTTGACGGTCACCAATTTTTGTTCACCTGACGTAAAAGAAGAAACTAAACATGAAATATGGAGCCTGTCTCTTGTGCATTCTTGCTACTAACATTTGTCTTACTAAGTTGCTGAGCTCCATCACCAGCACAGCACTGATCTTGCAAAAATCATTGGCTAGATGTTAATATGTTCTACTGTTAGAACTCATCTGTGCTAGTCCCATCTTCTAGCACAGGTGGTAAGTAAGAAAGACTACTGCCGAGTGGACTAGAACCCAAGGGTACACAAGAACTACACAAGCCCACATTTCCTATGCCAAGTTACGGAGACCTCCCTTACCTTTTGCCTACAGAGGGGCTCTTTTTTATTTTCTTCCGTTTTCACCTCCTGTTGCGCAGCATCTTTGGGAGTATTGACTGCTAGCACATCATTGATCGTGGAACCAACCACCATTATCTTTGCACCGTTGGTGACTTTTATTTCCCGCAACGTCTTCTCCTCCGGTAGAAGTCCCTTGAACATGACTTTCTGCATGGTGGGCGGCAGGCCTGAGAGCGAGAAGGCGAGAGCGGCGTGAGCCCCGCGGCGGGCCCGGGGGGGGGGGGGCGCCGGCCGCGGCCCGTTACCTGTGAGCG